CTCAATTACAGGCGGGGCCTCGTGGGAGAAGCCAGGTGTGTGAACTGAGCCTGAGGCCAAGAGGCCTGACTCTAATTTTGGGGGCAGAGAATGCCAGGTTGCTTATTGAGGTATCAAGGCTGTTGGTTTGTGGCCGAGATTGCTCATGGTTCAAATTAGAACTGAAATAGGCACTTGTGTTCTGCCTAGGAACTGTCAGTTAGGGTCCAAGGGTCAGTGTGCAGGCCCCCCACCCTCCACCCCCGCAGGTATTTGAGTCCTCCTGGCAACCTTTGCCAGGCTGCGCATTGCCCCCTGAAGCTGCACCTGCCCCACTGTTCTAAGGACAGAAGCCTCCTGATCCTGTCCTGTGTCCCTCCTGGGGTATGTTCTGGAACCTGGTTCAGCCCCTGGGGGGCTCCTGCCTCACCCAGGACCTGCTCACCCATGCTCACCTGAGCCTCATCCCCCCTTGTGGACGTCTCACACAGGCCCCGCTTTCTTCCCTGTGGAGGAGGCCAGTGCCACTCTCCCTGCCTCCAGGGGCCACCCCGGCCTGCCCTGAATCCTCAGAGCCCCCCACCCATGTCCTATCTGCCCGCATCAGCCGCGGCCTCCTGGCCCTGGTGCTGATCGGGCCCTGCCTGCGCCCCAGCTTTCCTGGAGGTGCGGGCCCCCACTGAGGTTCTGCTTTCTGAAGTCCCCTTGACTCTGGCGAGATCCTATGACTGTGGCAGATGCCTGACAGGAGGGGACCACGGTCACATGCTCGGGTGGTGGCTGGGACGCAGGAGCGTGGCCGTGGCCGGTGGGGGGCATGAGCGGCTCTGCAGCACAGAGAACCACGTCCCCAAGCGCAGAAGTCATGCAATGATGAAAGAAGAGGAATAACGAGAAGGAAAGGCTTCCCTTCCGGCTTCCCACGGGCCACAGAAATGAGGAACCAACCAAGAGCGGGCTGACCTCAAATGCACAAGGACCTGAGCCAGCGAGATGCAGGGAGGGACAGTGTCAGGGCGCTCTGGGACATGGGACAGGTCCACTGCCCGTTTTAAAATGGGGAGAGCAAATAATTTCGCCTGCTTTCATTAATTATACAGGCGTTGATAATGCTGGTGTTAACCTACAGCTGTTCTGTGTAATAGAGGAAGAGTCAAATATCACTATAAGATATGCCAGGCTAGTCATTCCCTCAGTCTGAAGAGGGGTGCTTGGTGTCGCAAGGAAAACCTGGCAGAGTTCCCTAGGTGCAGTGGCCACCACGGCCTTGCATGAGAAGAAGAACTACCGCTATGAACTCTTGAGGTTTGTGATCTTAAAATTATCTTTACATAGTTCTAGGTTGGGTCCAGTGGAAAGGTCTAGAAATACCACGTATGGGCATCCACTAACACCCACAGTGTGGGCTTAAAATTCTTTTTCAAACAAATGAGGGGATGTTGGAGAAATAGCTGTTTCTGCAGATGGACATTTGGTCAGTGCAGACAGAGAGGAAGCTCTGAGGCCATGAGGCGACAGACAAATGACCCGGAGCCAGACAGACAGCTTCTACCTGTCACACGGGTGAAATTCAGCTTCATGAGGGAGGATGCTGCCAGGATAAAGACCTTTGTTTTAATCCAGTGCTTTAAATCATTCTTAAAAAAAAAAATACACACACAAATACAAGAAAAAAAAGTACTTCAGACACCTGGAAGGATACAAGGAAAAAGTTCATTTTCTTCAATTAATAAAGGGACTGTGGAGGGTGACAGGTGAGCCTCCCCCACAGCCCCACCCAGGCGCCCCATGACGGGCTGTGGGGCGTCTCCCCGTGGGAAACACCGGAGTTGAGCTCCCTCCGCGCACAGACTAAGAGCGATGACCCGGCGTCAGGCCTCTCGCTGTCCCCTTGGCAGACAGCGTCAGGGCCCACAGGCCCGTGAGGGCGGTAGCCCAGTGCCCCTGCAGCCCAGGGGACTGACCCCGAGTCTGAGGGAGCCCCG